TCGATAATCAGTTTGGTAACATCAAACGTTAGGGAGCTTTCTAGTGGGACTTTGGGGGTAGAGGGAAAGACAGAGGGACCAGACTTTGGTAGATACCTCTGTAAACTGCAGTGGTTTGTTGTAAGCACTACTGGTTTTCTGAATGTGCACTTGCATGGCCCTGTCTCCAGTAACAGCCTCTGCTTAGAGTCAGTTTGGGACACCTTGCTTTTCTGAATGGAAACGTAACTCACTGGGCAACTTGAACGTTGTATTTCTCCCCCTTTTTTTTTTTTTTTTTTTAATAAAACAAACCACGTGTTCTAAACACTTAATGTTTTCTGAAATGTTCATATTGTTTTATTCACTCATTGACAATGTGGTTTTGAAGTTATTATAATATAGCCTTTCTATCTGTATAGTCCTTTCTGTCACTTGAATTTAGAGCTCTTCATTCTCCTTGTATTTACAGAATAGTAAGTGACATGGTTAAATATATAAGCAGGTCCTAAGAGTGACCATGAGGAAGTGATACTTGAATGAGACATTATTGCATTAAAACCCTAGAAGTTAAGGAAGTGGTGCTATACAGCTCAGCATAGGAATATTGCTGTTATGTTTTTGTAGAGATGATTCAGTACTCATTCAAAGAAAGCTGACATTTCTGTGTACTACAGCTGTCTACACATTTCCTGTTTTTCTTGATTGTTATTACCTATTTCCCTGAACCCACATCATCGTATTCTTTAAAGGAAATTAAAGTTTTGCTCAAATGAATTTTTGAAAACAAAGCAGCCTTTCAAGGTACTTTTTTCCCCCAAAAAAACCATAAAACAAAAAAGTTAAATATGAATATTCTAGTATTTCTATGAAAGCTTGCATCTCAGCTTGTCATAATGTTTTTCCTCAGTAAGAAATACAGAATACTAAATGGACTCAGTTCCATTCTTAGCATCAAAATGCAGAGATTATATAACTGAGGGTTGCTCTCCACACCTTTATTAGGGTTGTTCTCCACACCTTTATTTGCTATACCTTGCTTCAGATTGATTTGCAGAAATATGGTTCCTTGTAAATGGTGCCTGATATACAGCCCTTTGTGCTAACCAATGCCTCGTTTTATCTTTGACTATAATTCTGTCTTATAAATCCATAATTCAGCATTTGTGATATTTGGGTATGTATCAGAATGCAGACTTCCATTTCTTTTCTTCAACCCAAATGGTGGCTTATCAGAACATTCAGTTGAAATTAGGCCAGTGTGATTTAGAGTTACAATTAACACAAATCACAGCCCTACACTTATTTTGCCACTGGTTACAGTAGGTACTGAGCTGTGGTGCATAACTTCAACATCTGAATTCTATCTCTGGGTCCTGCTCTCCTGCTGTGTGATTTAATAACTTCACCTCTTTGCCTCATTTTCTCCATTTTTGTAATAAAAATAATGATACTTACCTCTTGTTTCAGTACTTAATGCTTTTCTGCTGTAAACCTCAATAGGAGAGTTACAATGTCATGATAGCACTAGAAGTACTGAATGTTTCCAAAGATCAAAAGCTTTTTTTTTTTTAAAGGAATAGTGTTAAAGTATTGTGGTGTGTGTATGCTTGAGCAAGGAGTTACTCTTGTATGAAGGAACTGTTTGATATTAGAGACCGAAGTGCTTTAGTTCGTGGGAAAACGTTACCCCACTACTTCTGTTTTAATGAAATAGTCTAATATTGATCTAAGCAACTAAACTAATTGATCTTAGAGTTACTTTAAGCACTTGGTGAACATAAAACTCTATGCAAGTACAGTAGACTTGGAGATTTTTCTCTGAGATAAAATTAGGATAATGTTTACATAAAAGGCTATCTGTAGTCATTCAAGTCAACCTTGAATAGAGAGACATGCAGACATATCCTTCAGTAGTTAGACAAAATTTATTAACTTATTGTAGCTGGTATAATGTAAAAATAATTTTTCACAATCATATAAACTTTGATGTAGCTTGAAATATGTTTCTCTTGTCTGGCTCTCCAGTTTGGGATGAAATGCAGGACTCTGTGTCTTAGATAAGCTGGTTATTTTGCAAGACAATTATATTGGCTTGCTGTTGATATTCCAAAGTGGACGAAAAGATTGTGTGTTTAATTTTTATGCTGTGTAACTGCAGTTTCTAACTCCTACTTCAGCTTTCATTCTTAAGCTTGGGACATGACTGCAAATGGCTGTGGTGTCATGGGATAGCTAATTGGGAAAGCCTGTTTGGAATGTGGGTAAGCGAGCCGTTTTGGCAGTAAGCAGAGTAGTAAAGAGCACTCTTTTTCCTTAGTTGACTCCCATGCTAAAATTAAACAGAGTTAGATATTTCCACATTTAAGGATTTATAATGCATCTGTTCCAAGTCAAATAGCAGAAAGAACTAATTACCTATATGCTCTTATAAAAATGAACTCTTCATTTTGCTGTGATATGCAGATCTGCATTTTTATGATAGGCCTTAGTGGAAATACCTTTCAGAACAGTGAGGTAATAAGTAAAAAGTTTATTTCCTCTTTCTGTTATCCTTTAAAATAATTGGATACTAAATTAATGATGCTAACACAACCTGTATCAGCACCTGCTTATCATTCATATGTCCTGAGACACCTAGGAGTCATAAGCTCAATGCTTTAGTTACTTAGTTACTAAAACTTAACAAAACTTGTCAGAATTAGTTTTTATTATGGATCATTCACTTTGTTCGTATTTGTGATCCTTCCCCAATAGAAAATGTACATTAACTATAACGTTTTTTCCTGTAGTAGTTTTTCAGTTCATTTTGTAGGGGAACATCTAAAATGCTTTACTGAAGGCTTTTACTGGAAATAGCAATGCTGATGTGTTTGGATACTGCATACACACAGAGCAGAATTTAGAAAGAATTCTGCCAGGGTGATCCTTTATGGTTGCAGAGGTAAAATACATTTTCCTGCACACAAATAACAAGTCTCAATGTCCAGTACGTCGTAGTATGTTATTGTTGTTTTGTTAACTGTTGAGTTTCAGTAAGTAAATTTATGACTGAACTATTATTGTCTACTCTTCCCAGTAAATTTTTTCACCTCAATGTTGGGAGGGACTCAGTACTGTGGTTTACTCTTTCACAAGGTTCTTACATCTCCAAAAAGACACCCATTTCAGCAAGGCGTTGCTACCTCCCTTCTCCTTTCCAAAGTGCTCGTTCACCTCTACATTCCCCTTTCACCATCGTGCTGCCTTCACCCTTTTCTTCCGCCTCTGATATTTGAAGCCTTTTCCCATTCTTTAATCATGACTGTGCATTCCTCAGCTCTACCACTGCTGCTCCTCTCTGTCCCCTTTCACCTCTCTTGCCTTTACCTCTGGCCTCTTCTCTGCATCTTCATCCCGCAAGTGTCCTCTTCCACCGCACCAGAAGTGCACTGTATTGCCTTTTAGTCCCACTTATTAAATGCTTGAATTTTGCTTTTGAAGCAGAGACCCTTCCGCTCCCTACACCCCCAGCAGCCTTTGGCCAGCATTCAGAGTGGGAGGAGGTGGCAGCAGAACTGACCCAAATGCAGGAGGCCCCAGGTTCTCCTCTTTGGCCCCCCTGTCCCTTGGGAAGATGAGCGCTGTTGCTGCAGCTGTCATCATCCAAGGAAGCTTGTCAGGAAACTTGTCCACAGGATGAGCGTGCCAAGCACAGCTGTGCTCTGCTGCCTCCTCTTTGTCCTTGGTTCGTTCCTTCGGGAGAGAGACGAAAGTTGGGAAGGAAAGAAATTATTTGCCCAAACTCCGCCTGGCAGGTGACACCATGACTGTGAGGAAATTCTCAAACGTTCAGAGATTACGTGGTGTTGGGTTCAACTCTTATTTTTCAAATAATTTACTAGATGGATGTAATAGATAACTCTGGCAAGAACTGGAGTCTGGAAAGGAAACCTAGTATGGTATGGGACTAAGGTCTATTTTCTCTGAAATGTACATTTAATTAAAAGAAGGGTAGGGAAGAAAAGAAAGTTCACCACAATCTTAATGAAAACCAGGAAACAAACATTGCCTTTTGACAGAGACAAAATAGCAATTAATTTTTTTCATGGACGTGTAAGGAGTCTACTGCCAACTTACAGCTTGGACCTCACATCAGTGAGGTCTTGAAAACTGGAGGAGAGATTCTTACTTCTTGGCATGAAAACACAAGTTTAAGGGGAGTGGGGGGAGGGGAGAAGAGGCGGCAAATCTTTTCTTTGACTACATAGTTATTTATTCTTGGAGAAAGCTGTTGCTCAGAAAACAACTTTATATAGGTGATTAAGCTGCTGCTTGACTGTAGTGGCTGAGTAGCAAATATGGCAGTAAATTTCAGTAATGCAAAGTCAGTGAAGTGCCTTGGTAGGAGGCCAAAGTTACCCGACAGTCAAATTGAAAGACAAATAGTGTAATTGCTTATCTGACTGCTTGTACTGGGGGCTGCTGTTGTTGTTTTTCTCCCAGACACAAGCTATCAATGACAGAAAACAACCGGAAAATAAACTTTTTTGCTCTCTGTTCTACCTTACTTGAGAGTTTTATGGGGTTGTGATAGTGTGACTTCCCTGAAGATAAAAGATAGTTTAAGTTCAAAGCATGACTTAATTGTATTGAATTTCTTAGTTTTAGCTTTTTTTTTTTTTTGCTTTTGTTGTTTGTTTGGTTTTTTCCAGTAAACAAGAAGCTGAACTGAGTAACTGGTATCATGGGCTACAGTAACACTATTTTTGTTCTTTTTCTGTTGTAAATGTGGGATTTTTTGTTGACTTTGCCTGTAGGCTGACTTTATTTCCCACTCTTTGGGAGGTCTCTGACTCCGTCTTGTCATATCACATATACATTAAACCTTTCATTAAGTATTGCTGGCGACAGGCGGTATCTCTTAAAGATGCAGGATTCTTATTTTGACATCCAAGTGTCTTCTAAAAGCAAATGGTTGTAGCATAAACTTTATCAATCCTCTGTTACCTTCTGTTTCTTTTTCTAGTGTCCTTCGGATCATGCCGCAAGGCATATTCACTGCTCTTCTTACACATTGCTCCTTTGCTTTCTGCTCAACATTGGCTTTGCCTTAAATTGCAGATTTATTTCTAAGGTTTATTACTGACATTTAAAACGATCAGATCACATAGACTGGCCTGTGTATAGGAGTTCCTCACAGTGTGTGTTCCAACTGCGAGGCTGTGCTAGACGAATGATTTATCTGTGTGTACTTCTTGACCGCCTTTTTCTCATTGTACTCGTCAGGCTTTGCTTGCATCGCCTCAGGTTGGTGGGTCTTCTGCCATTCGAAATTCAGCTGGGTTTAAAATTTTGCTATATACAATAAGCTCATAACTTTTTTTTTCCCGTTTAAATTTTTTGTGATATATTATGTGTTTTAAGGCGTATGTTTTTGCTAGTTTTTGGAAAGTACATTGAATTGTGTGACAAGCTTTCTGAATTTATTTGAATGTATTATTACATTCATATTGTTACATAGTTTTATTGTATAGTACAGAGTAAATATAGTATTGATTATATCTATCTATCTATCTGTAGGAAATATGTTTCTTTGAATTATAGAACTACTGTAATTCTCTAGAACTCAGTGCTAGGACCTTCCAGTAATGAGAATTTCTGTTCTGAATTCATTTATTTATTTGTTGTAAAATTGCAAAATGTATGTGAAAAGATAACTGCCTATTAAGAAATGAAGAATATAGTAGCCTGATCTTTTAATCCTAGGACTTCAGTAGTGAGAATTTTTAAAAAATAAGATATATTGTAAAACTTAAGTTAAAATCCTAAGAGCTCGCAGTGCTGTGACTGCCAATGTTAGCTAAGTTCAAAAATTTGCCTTATTTTACCTAACTAGTTCACTAAAGAATATTTGTGACCTCATTTACATGAAAAATATCCAGAGCAGCTTTGGGCAGAACACTAGCCTAAAGTAGACCTGTCTTTATTAAAAGTACCCACTGCACTAGACCAAGTTTTTCTCTGTTGAGGTTGCAGGAGTCGTGCAGTATATTCTTCTTTCTGTCAAGGGTCTCATTGGCTCCTGTTTTGCGTGATGTTATGTTTGGCTGAGAATCTGAGGGGAAGGTGTGGTGTGTATTCAGTTACACACACAACTTTGTGAAAACAAGCATTTTTCTTCGCAAAAGACTGTAATAAGCAAAATCAAAATGCAATTCTCTGCATGTTTGTGTGTGTGTATATCCATAACTCTGGCAATGCTGGCAAGTTTCTCACTTTCAAGAAGTTATTGAACTTTATTTTTTAGTTATTGCACTTGATTGAAATTTAAAATAAATATATATGTAAATCCACTCCAAACAGATGTCTGCATTGAAGATTATTTATGTGCAAAAAAGAAATACATATATGGGGATTCTTTAGCAGATAGCTTTCATTCTCTTTTCTTTTCTACGTTGTATAGGTGCAGTACTCTTGTCCAGTGTACAAGGATTAGCGATTAATATCGATCCAGTTCTGTATACTTGGCTTATCTACCAACCTCAGAGACGAGCTAGTAGACACATTCAGCAGGTACGTATTTTTGGAGAGGGAAAGGAGTGGGCAGAGCGGAAACTCTTCCATGTATGCAGGTAGTGCATTCTTGTTCTCTATATTTGTTTTCTGTAGTTTTTTTGTAGTTTGCTGCACATGCTGTTGATCTTATTTTGAATTATTTAAAATGTTAAGTTTTGAATATTAAAATTTTCATTTCACAACATGTGTATTTATAATGCTTAATGAAAAGAATAGAGAGAATATTTTTTGATGGTTATTTTGCAACCATTTTAACTACTGAAACCTCATAAGTCTCTTGAGTCTGAATACTAAATTGTGATTTAACCATTTGGGATGGCCTATCAAATAGTTGCATAACTTGTTATAAATAATAACTTTATTAAAACCCATTTTAATAGGAAATGAACCATACAGTTGATAATTCAACATAAGTGAATGCTGTAACAGATTCTGTATATAGTGTCAAAACATACGTTTGCATATTAAGTACCTGGAAAAGGTACAAGGAGTTGAGGCTGTGTGTCTGTGTGGCACTGTGTTTCATTTGACACATTCTTGACCCGAATTATCATGCCCCATGCTCCTGACCTGGAAAGAACACAGGTTTTGCCTGATTTTCAACTTATTTTTAACTGTCGTTTGGCAGACCGGTAGCATGTTCTGAAGTTTAAATTCATCATAATTGATCAAACTAGTGGTCTGTGTAGCCTGGTGTTACAAGTGGTCAATTATTACATGGCCAATATAAGAATCTTTTGATATTTGTCTCATAATTATAGAGCACCGTGCACATCAGGGAAATTTCATACTGGGCCCTTGTCATTACCTTATACAGCCTTCTAAATTTTTTGTGATCTATTTCTGATGAAAATTACTGTATCAAATTTCTAATGTTATCAGCATTTGGAGTTTTTTAGTAATTTGAAATTATTTTTAATGTGAATTTATATACCTATCAACATCATACTAACAAATTACAATGTTTGTAGTGAATAAACTTTATTTGAAAAGAAAACTATACCTGCATGAAACTATCCTTATCAAAGACTTTTTTTTTATCTAATACTGTAATTATCCTTGGATAAGGATTCTAGTTAATGTTATGGCTTTGTGTATTACTTACTGGAAAAGGTTTAGCTTGTTAACATAGACTAATTTGTATAGCAAAACAAAAATGCTCTGTACAACCTTCATAATTTTTGAAATTTAAGGGAACAGCGGTAAGACATGATGCTTTCAAGCAAGTGTTAGGGTCAAAATGTTATCGATTGAAAAAGTTGTTTTCTTCCTCTATTCTAACCATCAGTCTTATACAGTTGCAGCAGAAGAAAAGAAAATACATCACTTTAGAAGTTCAGAGATCTTAAATGTTGAGATAGTTTAAATTTTAAAGTCTACTTAATACAATTTTTTGCTCTGTCATTTTGAGTAAGTCAAAGTTGTGAGTTTTATCTGAAAACACACTGAGAAAATCTTTCAGTGTGTTTGGTTCTGTACACACTTTCTATCAAGTAATAACATTGTGAATTCAGTAAGTTAAATCAAATTATTAATTTGTTTGGAACCACAACTCTAGCCATGTCAGCTTCTGACTGCATGCAAAATAGGGCTGCGATTGTCTGGCTCCCAACAGATGGGTATACCTTTACATACCGCAACTTGAGGTTTGTTTGTCTTTTAACTGTTACACTGAGATTCTTAGGTTTATAATGCCAATTGGTATTATGTTTATTTTATGTCTTTACTGAAATACTCACTATGTGCATTGTAACCGTGTTGATGTGGTTTTGTCTGAAAGCATAAAAAGTTAGAAATATCAGAACATACTTAACTTTTTGAGCTGAAGTGGGATAGAACAGAAGCAGCATAAAAGTAAGTGAATGTTTACAAAACACACACATTTTCAATGATTTTTCCATAAAGCCATACTGTGTCTTTAAGATTAATGTAATGAAGAAATGTAATTATCTTTGGCCTCATGGAGATGTTTTTCAGCTGGAACAGAACAACAACCGACTGCCATGTTGGGAAGTGGGGGTACACGCAGCCCAGTGTAAGGGCTGCGCCTTTGCGTGAATTACTGCTATGCTACTGCTAAGCCTACCTCTGTTTGCACCTTGCTTATCCAGCAGCTACTAAGTATAGAACTGGTGTGATAGCTCAGGGTATGATGTTACTCGGTTTGTACAGATGTTACTGTACACTTTCTCCCCTCTTTTACCCAGTGTCGCTATGTTGTACAACTATGTTATAAACTCTTTAAATGTGTTTATGTAGTATCTAGTACACTGTGTCACCTGTCTTGATGTTTTCTTAGATGATGTCTGAAAAATGTGATTAGTGATAAATGAGGATTTAAAAACTCTGACTAAAGGTAAACACCAAAAGGAGACAGAAGCTATTTAAATGAAAAGTTAAGTTTGGCACAATAATCAGTGAATATAAACAGATTCTTCATATACTTAGGCTAGAACTAAAATATTTTAAAATCTTGAGTTACAGTGAAGTTTTTTGCTCGTTCTGTTGTCATTAGTAGGAAATTCTTTAACTTGTTCCCATATGGAATTATATGTCTTTAGGAACAATGAGAACTGATTGCAGGAGAAGGGAATTGTGCTTAGTATTTATCTAAAGAAAGTGTTACAACTTGGAGGAGTTGTACTTTAGGTGAATTTCCACATAATTTATGTTTCTGTACCAGGTACAAGTTACATAATTCTTCCTCATGTTTATTTTAAACTAACTTGGAAAAAAAGAAAAAAAAGGAAAAATTGGGAATAGTGCTAGTCTTAAAGGCTTCTGCATAGTTTAAGTACAATGGAATATTTGGTGCCAGATGCTCTCAGTGTCTGGCATTATAGCATATTACCTTTTTGTTACAAAGTGACAGTGCATGCGAAAATGTGGCCGCTGTAATGAATGATGATCTGTGGTGTTGCTGTTGTGGCTTTATGGTCAGTGCTCTAGGGTAAATGGATTTAATATAAACTTGTTTTTTCTCTATCCGTACAGAATTTCAATGTACATCTATAGGTTTTTCATTGTCCCTTTTGACGCACAGAAGCAACATTGCTGTCTAAAAATCCATGAGGCACTGTCACAGTGCTTGAACAAATCTGCATATTGCTCTTGAATTTCTCTCATGGCTACTAGAAATATGTGGTGCGCTTCCTAGGTTTCTTTGCTGAAGTGAAAACTTAGTGTAAAATACAGAAGAGGCTTATCTATAGTCTTGTCCATTGTTACCTCTTACCTAATCAGTGATACTGGACTTAGGTCAGTATAATGCCATTCTGAGGGGCATAACTGGATTTTAATCATGAGTAGTAATGTCTATATATACAAAACAAACAAGCACAGAGCTTTTGTTGCATGCTTTTGATGTCCTTATTTTAATATGTTTGTTGCAAGTTTATAATTTGTAAATTTTCCCAGTAATAGAGGAAACTACTGAAACAGTTTATAGTAAGAAGTTCTGCTGTCTTTGTATACTATATGGTATAAAGTGCATCATGTTTTTTTAAAATGTGATATGGGGAAGCCAGTGTTGCCTATGTTTACATTAGTCAAGAGCAGAATTAACATCTCTTTGAACTGAACTTGAAGCAAACTCTTTAGTTTTCTTATGTGCAAAGTCTGCAAAATCCTGTTAGTTATTTTAGTAAATTGTACAAAATCTTGCTCTGTAAAGTGCCTGTTCCAGTGTTTGGTCACCCTCACAGTAAAAACATGTTTCTTTACATTCAGAGGGAACTTCCTGTGTTTCAGTCTGCACTTCTGATCCTGGCACTGGGCACCATGGTGAAGAGCCTGGCTCTATCTTCTTTGCACCCTCTCTTTAGGTGTTTTTATACATAGATTAGGTCTTTCGTGAGCCTTCTCTTCTCCAGGCTGAACAATCCCATGTCTCTCAGCCTTTCCTCATATGGAAGATGCTCCAGTTCCTTACACATCTTCGTGGCCCTTTGCTGGACTCTCTCCAGTATGTCCATGTCTCGCTTGTACTGGAGAGTCCAGGACTAGCCTCAGCACTGAGTAGAGTGGAAGGATCACCGCCCTTGACTTGTTGACAATATTTTTACCAAGTGCAACCCAGGACACCATGCACCTTCTTTGCAGCAGGGGCACTTTGCCGGCTTTTGTTCAACCTGGTGTCCACCAGGACCTTTTCTGCCAATCTTCTTTCCCACTAGACAGTCCCCAGCATATACTGATGCATGAGGTTGTTCCTCCCCAGGGGCAGGACTTTGCACTTCTCATTGTTGAACTTCATGAGGTTCCTGTCTACTCATCCAGCCCATACTTCATGAGCTTCTCCATGAAGATCTTGTGGGAGACAGTGTCAAGGCCTTACTGAAGTAAATGTAGACAATATCCACTGCTCTCCCTTCATCTTCCAAGCCAGTCATTTAATCATAAAATGTTACCAAATTGGTCAAGCAGGTCTTCCACTTGGTGAAACTATGCTGATTACTCCCAGTCACTTTCTTGTCCTTTATATGCCTGGAAGTGGTTTCAACACCTTGCCAAGGATTGAGGTGAGGCTGATAAGTAAATCCATGGGTCTTCCTTCCTACCCTTCCTGAAGATAGCAGTAACATTTGCGTTCCTTTGGTCATCAGGCGTCTCTCCCAGTCACTATGATTGTTCAAAGGACATTGAAAGTGACTTTGTGATGACATCTGCCAGTTCTCTAAGCACTTGTGAGTGCATCCTGTCAGGGCCCATGGACTTATGTACGTCTAGTTTGCTTAACTTTTCCCTGGCCTAATCTTCCACTTGAGGCGCTACATCTTCCTTGTTCTATCCTTTACCCCTGGTCTCTGGGAGCTGGGTCTTACTTCAAGGCTAGTCTTGCTTGTAAAGACTGAGGTGAAGAAGACTTTCAGATCCTCAACCTTTTCTAGTGGGAGAAGAAGCTCATGAGTTTCCTGACTTGTGAAATCAATGTGTATTCCTATACACAGCTTTTTTTTAGCTCTTTTGCCCTCCTGCTTTTTTTTTCTAAACCCAGATGAACACAACAAGTTAGTCAAGATTATGTAATATTTATACACATTTTAAAAAAATGTTTCTGTTGATTTCATATCTAACAGCTCTGAATAACATACAAACAGAAAAAGAAAAGAAAACACAGTTGTTTAGTGTCAGAAAAAGAGAATAGATAGAGAATAGAAAGATTGGTAGCAGAGACAGGAAGAGGTAAGGAAAAGATACTTGCTATCATGAAAGTATTTTCACCTCATCATCAGCTGATGATCTTTCCAGATAATAATTGCAGAAAGTATTACATGCTTCATTGTCTAGAAGAGGGCACTATTGGTAGATCACTTTTTGTGTTTGGAGCACCATACTATGTGTACAGTACATGAACACTAGAAACCTTTACCAGTTCATGGTATAAAACTCAAAAAACCCAGAACACCCAAGACACAATATGTATTAAAATAGCAGCAATTGTTGGACTTTATTTTCTTAAGTTATAATCATAGAATCATAGAATGTATTGGGTTGGAAGGGACCTTTGAAGATAATCTGGTCCGACCCCCCTGCAGTAAGCAGGGACAAAGGACAAATCCAGACAGATGACATCCATAGCTCTTCCCTTGTGTACTGATGCAGTTACCCCATTGTAGAAAGCCACTAGGTTGCTCAGGCAGGATCTGCCCCTAGTAAAGCCATGCTGGCTGTCTTGAATCACCTCCCTGTCCTCCATGTGTCTTAGACAGCTTCCAGGAGGATCTGTTCCATGATCTTCCCAGGCACAGAGGTGAGGCTGACAGGTTGGTAGTTCCCAGGGTCCTCCTTTCTACCTTTTTTAAAAATGGGTGTGGTGTTTACCTTCTTCCAATCACTAGGAACTGCACCTGAATGGAGGATGTAGGAATGAAGTTACTGCTTACTTAAGGAACTAAAGCTACATGGGACTTGAACCTTATATCTTCTGCTTTCAGAGGCCCCTTGAAACTGCTGATAGAATGCTTTCGTCCAGTTGTGAAAATGTGGGGGTTCTTGGCTGACATCAGTTCATCAGATAAGTTTGGAAAGATTGCAGCTACTCAGTGATTGGTCTTTTATCCCAGCAGAGCACTTTTCTGAGCATACCTGACATTCCTGCCTGAAGCAGTCACAGAATTTCATTTGAACTGGCAAGTTAGCTGTCAGGAAAGAAGGTGCTTTTGTGAACCCCAAGGGTTAGGCATGCCCAATCCTTTTAGTTAAAAATAATTTAATTAATTTATTTTATTTTATTAATTAATTAATTTTAATTGGGAGCTAGATCTAATGCCTAGTTTTGTTTGGGCTCTCTGAAGCAATTTAGGTGTGTTCTTATATTATTAATCTCAGGAATAAAAACAATGAAACGTAACTCTGTAGTCAAGCTGCGATTATGATTTCATGATATTAGAACTTGATGCAAGAACTTGTGAGCCAGGTAGATCCTGCTTGCTGTTGGAGCTCATTCTGGCACAGCTAGGACAGTCTTGCAGCATAGGTAAATATTCTGCTTTGAGGCAAGTAGTGATTGCATAACAGAGATCTTAGATATTCACAAAACATCATGTCTTGAGTAGAACTGCCATCTGTCCCCACTCCAGAGACTTCATTAATTTTGATTCCTGCTTGCTGGTTGCAAGCTGCTGCACATGCGTGCATCAGTCTATGCATGCAACATCCACCATGTGAGATAGCTGGGTTTGGTATAATTTCAAAGATGGCAAACCATGTCTGGGCTGAGGCTTCTGAATTCAACATTTCACAAGCCAGTGATTCATTTTTTTTCCTTTAGTAATAATATTTAGACTCCCATCTTAGAATATTCATTTACCTTTGGTTTGTTACCAGAAAGGTGACTGTATAGGCATCCCTCAAGTGAAAGTTACTCGTCTGCTCAGTTGGTTGGCATTTCTCATGTTCCCAGATCTTTCAGCCTCACACTTGTGGGAAGTTATAATTCAGAAATAAAATATTTAATTACCAAAAATAGCAAATAAAATAAAATATTAATTTATTCTACCTGGAGCAAATTTCCACTAGTCCTCTTCACAGGATATTTTAGCTTCAGCTATTTGACATAACTTCACATAAATCAGGAAATACTTGTGGCTTGGTATTTTTGGCAAGTTGGTTTTTAGCTATTATTGTTCAGTGCCTTTCTCTGATTTTAAATCTTTGTCATTTCCAAAGCCATGTTGACTGCGCAGTGTAAAGTAAAATTAAAAAAAAAAATCTGTATCTGTTGATCCATTTACATGCATAAATAGCATATATGTTTGTGTACACATACTTAACATGGTGTGTAATGTATTAGATTATTTGTGTCAGTAAAATTTAAATTTGGAAACGACCAGCTCCCCTGTAGCTTTCTAGCCACCTCTTAAAAAGTTACTTGTAATAATTATGCTGGAAAAGTAGTAAATTTTCTAATTTTGAGTACCATGAATTGTTATTAATCTAGTATTCAGTGTATAATAGCCACAAAACATTATTGCATTGCTAAAACTGTGGTCAGAATTCTAGAACAGAATCTGATTTTGACTCTGTGTCAACGAAACAGCCTAATATGCATGTTGCCATAGTTCCATAACTTTACTAAATGTTCTTTATTTATCTTCTTTGTAACACTACCGATTAGTAACCATAAAGCTTACATCCCAAGTAGGTGTCTTAAACTTTACTACACATTATTTTATTGCTAGCTTTTTGGATTCCTGTGATGAAATGTGTATGATAACACTTGCCTGCAGTGTCTCCTTTCCCATCAGATTCATCTTCTCATACAGCTGTGGGGCTCTTGTCGTCTGCTATTTCCCAAGCCACAACTTCCTCATCAGTTTGTGGCTAAAACCCAAATCTTGATGATCCTTTTCCATCTAGTTCAATGTTGATCTTTCATCTTCTGCATTCTTTTAACCAGAAATCTCTTGCCAAAAACCTGACAAGATTGTACTGGGCGTCATCAACAGCAACATCAGGGTTGATTTCAGTGAGCAAAGATGAAACAGCTGTTTCATTGTCCAGATCAGCACTCAAGCACTCAATATTTGGTCATAATTTTTTCCAGCTTTGTCTGGCTGTGAGAGCCTTGATGTTTTTTCGCTATATGACTAGTGGTGTACTGTTATATGTTGCTGATCCATTTCTGCTGTGGTTCAGAAATAGATACAGCTTCTTCAGACAGTATTTCCATCCTGTTGTCTTTTGTGGTCCTTTGTATTTTCTGTGTTCTTCAGAAGCTCTTGCTTCACTTTGGCAAGTCAATATTATTGCAATGGTACGTCTAGAATTGCCAAATCTCATGGCTCAGCAGTTGCCATCATGGGAAGGCTGCCAATGGCTTTGCCTTATGAAAGGTTGTATCAGATAAGCTGCGAAATTTTGAAAATAAGTGATGTAGTGTGTCTGACGAAAGTTTACAACATTTCAGACTCCCTCTCTGTATGCATGTGGGAAGTATTTCTGTGGTGTAAAACTTGTCATTTCAAAGCTGGTGGGTCTTTCTGTTGTTGTTATGGCTAGAGGACACCAAAGTGGCATGTTACTGTATTCCAGAATGGCTTTTTAGTGCTTTTGGAGACAAAGCTGATGACTGTATGCTCAGAGGGAGGAGGAGAGTTGAGAGTTCTGTTTGTCATTTACAATAGTATTTTCCTATTAACTTTGCATACCACTGTATGTATAAGTTGATTGTTTTCACTGGAGCAGGATTGATTAGTTGATTGTCTGTCATATTTTAATTTACTTTTATAGTGGAAAATGGTGAAGGCATTCTCCTTCAATTAAATTATTTTTCTGTTTGTTTTGGGGTTTTGGATGTGTGCACGTGTTGCACACTGTGTGATTGTGATCTGTTTTCTATTGGAGAAAATTTACAAGCACATTGCCCTCCTCACACAAATTTGTTTCCCACAGAGATTCCTAAAGCAACGTGTGAGGTTTCTCATTATCCAGCTATATGGATTACATTTTCGTTTCACTACCAACGAAATTAAATTACACAAAAATTGATTAAGATGCATGTAATCCTAATGTCTGATCCTTAGAAAAATCTTTTGTCATTTTTAAATGATAACCCTCTGCAAAATCAACGGTAAAATTATTCTGCTTTTGTCAACTGGGATACATCTACAATTCATGTGACAGCTAATGCTACAGCAAAATGTAAACAGCCAATTCCACAGCAAAATTCAGGATCCAATTTTTTTAATGATTTTGTCTTTTCTACCTCACATCAGTAAAAAAAAAAGTAACAACAAAGACAAGAGAAGGTATTAATTTGTGGACCTCCAGTTCCAGAACCCATGTGTATTAATACATATCACTCTTTTCTAATCTTTAAAAAAAAGATGCAGTCCTTCAAACTAGATTTTAATGCCTTCAGTTTTGTTTAACCGAGTTGTGTTTTGAGCAGTTTGTGATGTATTGATATGCTTGAAAGACAAAAAGCAATTCCAAATCAGTAGTGGTCAGAATTACATTTATATTGAAAATGTGAGGAACAAATATAATAATGTTTAAAAAACAATCCCTTTTTTCTCTCAAAGTTTGTTGAAGGTTGATAAATTTCTTTGCGAATCGTTGGAATCTTAATATCTGGCTAGAATTATCCAGTTTCTATTAAACATTTAGATAATTATTTTGTTTTGGTGATCATCCAGGTTTATTCATGTGCATTTTGATTGGTTAACGAGTGTGGTATTTTAAGTTAATGAGTTCTGTGTCACTTTCTTTGTTGCTGTAGAGCTTTTCTTCAGAAAAACAGTACTAAAAGAATTACAAGTGCATGTCTGAATGTAATGTTTCTTAATTTGCTTTCAAAGTATAGGTGCTCCCATCAGCGTTTCAGGTTGTCTTCTATAAATTTCAAAACATGTAGTTTAAGCTATGCTTCTCATGACAATGTCATAATTCAATATTAATGTGTTTTGGTTTGAGTTGTTCATAAGACACTTCTTTTTCTAGCAATCTGTAGCAACTGTTCCGCTTGGTGTGTCAGTAACTCGAAAAAAAGAGGATGAAGCATCAGTTGGAAGTGCACCTTTGGCAAGGCAGCAGTCGAATCAAGCCTCTGAGTATGCCAGCAGTCCTGTCAAAACAAAAACAGTAACAGGTATGACCAATGACCTGAAACTCACCTTTCTGCCTGTGCCACCTTCCTCAATAACATGTGTCCACATGCTGTTTGAACAGCATCAGCTGTGCAAATGCTGTGGAGCAACTTTCAGGTTTAAGAAATATTCTCCCAGAAAGTTGCAACTTCTTTGATTAATAATCATAAGACTTCAATTTTTTAAACATTTTCATTTAGGTAGGATTTATACACTGTGATTAATCTCTTTTATTTCAGTCAGTGAAAGCCTGGCATGTATGGAAGTTGAGATTTTTGCAAAAACAGTTAAAATTCATTTTTTCAAACTGAGTTTTCAGACTGAGTTTTCAAACTCAGTCTCCCATAGAAAATGCATTCGTTGGCACTTCTGTTTCATGAGTTCAAGAAATTATTAAATTTAGTAATATTTTCTGGCCACTTAAGAGTTAAAATTTATTATCACTTATCAAGATTGTGGGATTTTCCTGACTATTTATTCATATAGTGCTGTCTACAAGTAGTAAACTAGGAGATTGTCCAAAAAAAGTGATTATCCAACTGAGAATTTTAGTAATCCTTCTGAAATACACTGAACAAATTCTCTTTTCCTTTGCATTGTTGTTTATTTCCAGATAATCATGAAGTACTTCAAGATGTTGTCTGTTGAAACTGAGATTACAATTTCATCCATTAGTGGTAGTGTTTAGTTGTTATGTCGAGATTAAAAAGGACTAAAACCAGAAAAGTTGTTTGGCGCATATTCTGTGGATTAATACATGTTATCATTGGTAGTAAAAGAATGGATTTATTTCAAAGACTTCTTTCTATTTCATTTATTAATATCCTTTATTTTTACCATTTATCCTTTTATTTTTACATTAATTCATGAATTCTGTTTATTTTTGCCTGTAATGAAATGGCTGAATGAAGTATATGCTTTTTAAACTATATTTATCTTTTGTTCTGCTATATCAATGTCATAAATTATATGATGTATCTCTTCTTGAAGTTAATTCTACCTGTGCCCATCAACAAAGCACAAAGATGTGATTCACTAGAGAAGCTTTTGTAATTTTGAATATTTGACATTCAAAACCAGCTATTTGCATGAACAGATGCTAGGTTAGTTTGTGTTAATTACCAATTTATAAAACTATACGTGTAGTTTGCAAAAGTGGCTTTGTACTTGAGTTTTGAAAATTAATGTCCCAGTCTGACATAGAGTTTGATACTAATAAATGAAAGGTGACAGTAGTAATTCTATTGAGGTAACATTGACTAAACATTTTTTTTTTTAATTAGAAGCGGTCTTTTAAAGAAGATATTACTAAAATTGGTTTTATTAATTCTCAACTGTAAAAAAAATGTTGAAAAAAGTTTCTGTTTTTTAAAGTGAAGCTACATACACATAGCAGAGGGTCTGCTTTGTTCATTTTTAAGATGTAGTGTGCCTGACACTGGTTTGAAGGCTAGTGTGTGTTTTAAAATGTCTACCTATTTGTTATACTCTGGAGACAAAATGCTAGGTATAATACACCTGAAGTATTTGAGATTTACTTGCAAAAATGGGGAATGAAAATGTAAAAATGGATGCTAAAGAGCAAAAGCCTTGTATACGAATGAAATTATTTGAAGGGATGCTATCTGTCTTCTTCAGCAGACCACACAGATTTCCCTTAAAGAAAGAAAGAAAGAAGAGCCATGTCACACTGCAGTGCCATGCAGGCTTGTTCTCTGTATTGCCTCCTGAAACTTCATGCAATGTTAGGAGCTCTTCCTGTAGAGCTCACCTTGTGCCCTTGAATTGCCTTGGCACTGGAAGATTCAGGGGATAGTAAAAACTAACATGTGTGTTGTGTCATTTCTTTACCGGTATATAACATGCTGGTATATGGTGGATGAGTGACTACTTCATTAAACTAAAAAGAGTGCCTGTGATTCTTCTCTTTTCTTGTTTTTCTAGGTCCCTTGCTCCCTCAGTTTTTTACTTTATTTCCTGTTTTTTTTAATTTTAACTGCTTTTTGTCTGAGTTATCTTTCATTTTGGCTCACTTTTTTAAACCAGAAATACCACACTGATTATAGGTCTAGGACCTGTAATGCTACCCATGCTACGAAAGTATTTTAGATAGAAGGAGCAACGATCCTTTTAAGCTTCATATTTCTTCATCATCAAGGCTCTAGCTACACATGCCTTAAGTTGTCAAAAAACTGAGATTCCAAATTGATAGCAAGCATATATGCATACTCTTATAGATTGAAGGAGATTGTATCTTGAAATCAGGCTATTCAGGTGGTGATTTTGAATTTATCCTTTTCAGTCTAGCATGATATCAGCAGTCACTCCTTGAGAACTGCTAGAAACCAACCCTATGTATTAAATGAAAGCAGTTTGTAATCACAGCTGTAAAATTATTTAAAACATTGATCTTGAGTTCAGTTTATTAGTTAAGGGTTGCTGAGACCTTGCCAAAAATGAAGCATGGGAAAAGAGCAAAAGTACTATTTATATGTTATCTGTCTGTGAATCCAAGGTTTCTGGTTTTAAGTCTCAAATTGTCGTTATTTATAAAACTCCTTAACCTAACAGGCTTCAAAAGCAAAGTAAGATTATAGAATATATAGTGCAAATTTTGTATGATGTGGCTGTGAACAAGCAAAGTGATAAAGAACATTAAAAAAGTAATAAGTATTTATCTCAATTCCTTAATCCACCCACTTCTCCTCCCATTTTCAGCAATTCAGCAGTTCCCTGTTAGTTCAATAAAAAGTGTTTTGCAGACCCGTAGCCAGGCATAGAAGTATAGTTCTTATGTCTGGATAGTGGTGAAATATTGCTGTATGTGTGTATAAATGTAAGACCTCCTAGTGAGGTCTTTTTGTAGCCATTACACTGAAATTTAATTTCACCAGGATCTACCATGACATCTGACATTTAGGAATGCTTGAAGCAGCCATAATATCCCAGACTCAAATTTGATACTGTCTTGTGAGGTGTAACCCAGTGGCTGGTATCTAATTTTTCAGTAACACTAGAAAGGTAGCCTCACATACGCGCTTTAGTATGAGGAACCCTTTTAGTGAGAGAAGCTACTTCAGAGAGGCTGAATAAGGTAATATTTTTTTTCACTCTTAGAATCCTCAAAGTTGACCTTTCTTGTAGCTGTAGGTAGGTAAATAAAATTTAAAGTTTCATCTAAGAAGTCATGAACCTTGCAGCTGGAGTAGGCCCCGTAGCCTCTTACAAAGACATGTGAAAATGAAATGCCCTATCCCATAGCTGAAAGCACACTTGTCACAGAAAACCTGCTGACCCCTGTTATGCAACAGCCAGGGATTTAGTCATGGTACAAGGGGTAACTGCATTTCAGCCATGTCCTGAGTGTACATCAGGGCCTATGACAGTGGGTTTTCATCGCTAGATCTAGAGTCTGAGACCAGAGGTCATTCCATTTTTTTGTCTGGTGGACAGATTTACAAGAGCATTTGCAAAAGAGAATTAAGCGATGGTGGGTTTGGGACAGCTTTTTTCCATGGACCAGGTTAATCAGGTCTGCAAGTCGCAGAGTGCACTGCTCATTTAATTCCACTACAATTTCAGTATTACCATGTGGTATCAGTTCCAAGTTGAAAGCTGAGAAGAGAATCCAGTGTTGGTTCATTCTGCAGGAAGTGCATGTCTGCTACGTAAGAGTATGTGCATATGGAGAGCAAGACATGAAATCATTGCAGTTTGGAAACATCTTTTGTTTTTGAAACGTTGGTAATTTGTTCTGTGGAACTGTTGTTCTTACAGAGAAATAATTAGAGTTTGAAAGTTTCATAAGTGCTAAGTTACACCTCGTCTACTATTCATTTTCATTTCAAGCAGATGGAGGATGGTATCATAACAAGAGAGGTCAAAACTTTGTCCTAGATGGTCTTTATAGTCTCTGTCCTGTATACATTTTCTGATTTCTAAGAAAAAAGACAGAGCTCCTGTTGCAAATTTCTGCTTCCTTTACCCTGCTTAGTTTTTTTCCCAGAGCTTGTAGAAACATAGTATCTTTTGAGATATTTATCCTGTCAAATTTGATTTATATTGCCCAGGCTATGCAAAAGGAATTAGAGGACAAGCAAATGAGTTGCAAGCATATGCATAGAGTATGGAATTGCATAAACCTCCTTGCCATAGGAAACCAGGCAAAGAAAGATCCACACCTTGCCTTTCAATCAATTCCTAACATTTGATAGTGTAGCTATAACACCACACTTATAAGTTGACAGTTAGATACTTACTATAGCTGGAACTTCTTGATTTTTATGGGAAGTGTTAGTAATTCAATTTTTGAGAGCTTTAATAAATTCTTAAAATTTCTTCAAAGTATACACGAGATATTTCTGAACCACCATTAAATACTTCTCCGTAGAAGTGGAGAAAAGAGGAAGCTTGAAATGTAGGGATGTCTCTATTTCATTTAGACCAACTGACTCTATGTTAGTGTTTTTATTTGAAGCTTCCTAATAAGTTAATAAACTTTCTATAGAGTACAGTGTGGCAGAATATGTCCTGTACTTAGCAAAACTGCTATTTTTTTTGTTCCTAAAGTACAGCTCAAAAGCTGAACTAGATTCCTGCTAAAATGAGCTGTTGGAGTGCAAAAAACAGGCAAATGTGAGAGAAGTCTGGCTGGTGAGAAATCAATGGATTATCTGAAGTATTTGAATTACTATTTCTGCCCAATGAACTGAATGATTATCGTTTATTCATGCCTGCTATGCAAGGTATGACTGATGATTTATTTGGGAAGATGAATGAAATTATATTAATGCTAAATAGGCAAAGTAAAATACAGGAGTTTAAGTCTGATGCACATTTACCTAGGATGCCTGAAAATACTAGGGTTATGATATTTTTATAAATTGGGTTTAGGTCTTGGAATAATTACTTAAAAGGAAGCTCTCTGGGCACAGATGATTTATAGTTACTTTTAAATGACTGGACAGTCACATACTTATATTGAAAATTAATTATTGTGAGT